AAATCTGCATGATTAGGGACTCCAGTTATGAGCAAACAATGAATAACCTCAAGTGTGATACAAGTAAGACTTTATTAACTACATAAACACTTAAACTAGTCTAACATACACACACACGCACACACGCTTGTACAGTTGGCATAGGAGAAAGGGTTAAAGCTTGAGCAGTAAAGAGAAGAGAAATAAAGATATGAAGCTATGGTACAATTTGATATTCAGCAGATCTACAGCCTGAAGGAAACATCAGTTTCTTAGTTCAAACACACCTTTGTAAAAAGGTGCAAATGATACTTAATGTATCAATTAATAAGACTAAGTTTGATACTTGCACGTCTCGCCTGTTTGAAAGAGAGTCCTGATGCAATCTGAAGGCTCAAGTTGATCTTTGCTGAAGTTGGTTGATGGAAAAGAACCAGTCTGAGTCAAAGGATCTTGAAGTGGAAAGACTAGGCCGAAGCCTGGCGCAGACTTAAGGGTTGCAGAAGAGTTTCTAGCTCACATCCTTATCTTCTCAGAAACTAACAGGACTGCAGACTGAAGGGCTATATGTTGGAGCCCACCGGGCACGCCCGCACCGGCTAAGGCTCTCCACACGGGCAGCAATCAGAAGATTTAGCAGATGACATGGGCAGAACTGTACGTGAGCCCTTTAAAGTCTGAGACGAGTCACGCCTCTCAGGATGGGCTTGTCCAATGAGAAAGGTTGAATTTCCAAGCGGGAGGTTAGAAATACTGGGTGGTTTTATGACCCTTTGTCTGAGAGCATGGTAATTTGCATATGGAACTGGATTGGATGTTGATATGCAAACTATTAAAGATTCTTAGAACACTAACATGTTGCATAGGTATCCACATATTACAAACACTCTCAATTCGATAATCCGAAGATTAATTCATAGAGGCCAAACATGGTATAGGTGAGTTTACATTAAATAGTGGTCTGTCATAAGCATGCATTAAAACAATACAAGTATACAAGTATACAATACACAAGACCATATACAAGGAGGTAGTAATCATACACAAAGACCTGGGGATATGCATGATAGGAAAGTCAGAGAAAAATTAGTCTATGAATTAATGAAAGAAGTCATTTCCTATAGCAGTATGTGTCTGTTTTAGAGAGAATTGAGTAGGGAGGAAGAGTCTCTCTACATACTTTTAGGTCGTAAAAGTTTATCTGATCTGGCTGAGGTGCACTGATTGCCATGGTAACCAGGGGCCTGTGGTCATACACAGACATGCTTACACCCAGTATGTTTATTGGGTGAGGGGTCTGTGATTATTTGTTACTCTGATGAATAATTGGTTTGTTAAATCTAATGAAAATTGTGTGTCTGATTGGTCTAAATGTGACAGACCTACTGTACATGCATTATACCTTCGCCCCTACACCATTGAATTATGTTGTTGGGCTAATGGGTGGTCCTTACAAATCTGTTGACAACAGGAGAAATGGAAGAGTAAAAGAGCGTTTGCTGTGATGCGCCCTGTTTAAACAGCTTGTTTGTGTCTCTGTATAGACTTCAGAAGGATTTGATTGCCAGAAACAAGTGGATGGTTTGTAATGGTGTCCGAGATCGAGTTGCAGAGTTATATGTTTGTTTGGGGCATTTGACTGTAGATTGTTTTGTAAACAAGACACAGTTTAGTAGAGAGTTCTAAAATAAACTTTTGTTGAAAGATGAAGCAGCCAACAGTATTGGATTTTACAGAAGCTGCATTGGAAACCAGAAGTAAACAATTTCATAATGCTTTGTCTGTAAATGACAGTTTTTGGATTATATTTTCAAAACACATATAATAATATAATGTGAATATAACATTATATTATTGAATATAATAATTTTTCCGCATACGTGTTAGGTGAACCTCAAGGAGCATATTAAAATAACTGTTAAAAAATCATGTCATGAACCCTTTAAGAGCTGACGACATTGCCACGTTCTTCATTAATAAAATGAAAACCATCAGTGCACAATTTTCCATACCACAATC